CTATACCGGATATAGTGAACCACTGCGTGAGCACGGGACAATATACAGAAAAGACGCAGCAGCTTTTGAGCTACACTTTGATACATCCAGCCATAACTAATCAAGATAGACGTCTTTTAACTCAATGGCTCAAAGATCTGGAAGAGCGTATTAGCAGTACACCACCCGTTTCTAGTTTCGAAGATTATCCAAATACTCCAATGAGGTGAATTAAACTGTGTTATAATGTAGTCCGATAATCATAATATTTCATGTAACTGAAATAATGTGACATCATAATCATGATATTCTTTTATCTGTAATATCTTCTTAAATTCGGGTTTTTTTCTATGTTATAAGATGGGAAAGTCCATGGCAGAGGAATTCCAAACATGATCAGTCAAATCTGTTTAACACGCAACCGGGCGGCACGTTTAATTTACATTTTCCCACATCAGTTAACCGTCAACGTCGTTCCAATAGCTTAACACCACCGGTAGCGCCGCCACATCATCTCGAAATTGTCGACCGAACCAATAACACGAACGCTTCCAGGCACAAGCCGCGCAGCTTTAGTGTCTCTGGAGATCACGCCAGTAATTTCCAAATATATTTCATATATAGATGAATTTATATTGTATTCGTACATTTCTTTAAATGACTTATGTTCACATAGGCAATATTATTGGTTTGGGTCCACTGAGCCCGCAGAGTTCCTGTGCGAGTAGCGGTAGCGAAGGTCGTTTGGATGACGCTTCGAATCGTTCGCTCGCGAGTGGCATGAGAGGTAAATTGATGCGATAAATTAATGCGGTAAATTTTTATGTTATTTGATCAATAGCATATAAAATGACTGGAAGAAGTTACATTTTTTATGATGTTTTCAAGTATCTTTGTATTTTATATAAATTTTTCTTTAAACTATAGAGTTTTAATTATCTCTTTCTTTCGGAGTCATTTCTGACCACTTATACTTTCTTCTTCATGGATAAGAACATCGATATCTAATTATAATCTAATTGTATTTATTCTTTTTAGACGTACAATTATGGCTTAAAACATTACGACTTCATAAATACAGTTATTTGTTCGCTACCATGAGTTATGAGGATATGCTGCAATTAACGGAGGATCAATTAGCCGAGCAAGGTGTTACGAAAGGTGCTAGACACAAGCTGGCTCTCTCTATCGCTAAACTGCAACAGCGATACAACACACTTTTAAATCTGGAAAAGGGTCTAGTGCAGCCTAGTGCCCGCGACGGCATGCAAAACACTTCATTCTCACAGGGTCCATCACTAATCATTAATACAATGGAAGAACTTAAGACGATTCTGACCACTCCTATGAAGCCGAGTCAAGAGAGCGATCCACAAGATATCCCTGCGCAGTTTACGAAAGTGCTTGGCAAACGTATGTACAAACCGAGTTCTAATTTTATTATTAAAATTTCGTTTAGAATGAGTGAAAGATTTTGTTATCTCGATTTTTTCTCTTAGTGTGCAGTAGATTGGCTTTGGAAAGCGTCGAGGACGGTATTTTGTGCGCGTACGTCAACATTTTGGAAAAGGTATTGCAGCACGACTGTTTCACCCCGAATCAGAAGGAGAAAGTGCAGCAGTGGCGTAGTAGACTTGGCAATCCGCGACCGACTCAAAAGTAAGCTAAGACATACGTTCTCGATAAAAAATATTTTTTTAGAAATACAAGTAAATTGACATGTCGCGTAAATGTGCGGTTACTTTCGACATGATAACACGTACATGTGAAATTTTAGGTGGCAGCATAACTACGGATATAACAATAGGAGATATGGGAATCCGCAGCAGCACAGGAAGCCAAGTTTGAATTTGAATCACATTCACAGTACCCACACACACAATCAGTTTATGATTGCTTCGCATAGAAATAGTATATCTACACCGTATTTGCAAAATAATCAGAATCAGAATATGAATAACATGAATATGAGTAATTTGCGTGCGATACATACGACCGAGAAGAGATCGAGTTTACAAGAGACCAGCATGCAGGTAATGAAGAATTTACTTTTTATAATCTTGAAGACCGACAATATATTCCGTTTATTAATACAATTACTTCGATTTTTATCTTGCAGCAATTACAGAAATCATTGCAACATGTAAGTAGCGCGCCGCGTGATCATTTTGTGGAACATTCTGCCAACGGAGTGAATGAGACGACGGAACCGGAAATTGATATTCGATTGCAGTCTCTCTGCTTGAGAATGACCGAGCAAGCGATCGGTGGGTTCGGCGAGGCCTAATCTTCCATACACGCGTTCTGGGATTTATCGTAAGTCCCGTTTTCAACAATCCTTTTTGGATTTTTGACCTCGAAAACGAGGGAAGTTTTGTTCGCCAAGGCGCGAGTCATCTCTATCTCGCGCTCGCTCGTGTTTTGGCAAACAGCATGTTTGAGTCATCGTTTAAAAGTGATACTGCAATGGGGACGACGCATACTTTTTTTTTGTGTGCAAATACCTGCGTATACACACACTTATGCTTTAATATCTCTACCAAATGAAGAAAAAGAAATGTCCGACATGTGCGACATTGCTGAGAGATAGATAAGTTTTTCTTTGAAGATCAAACGACACTTACACACACGAATACACATTACATACATATTATTTTTTATTATGTCCGATGCAATTGTATTATTTAATTGACAGAATTTAGCAAGCCAAATGCTATTAGAAAGATAGATTCTTTCCTCGATTGTTTGCTGCAACCGTATATATAAAGATATTATATAAGAAGAAGTATATATATACACACACGCGTATATGATAGAATTTTATGAGACAGAAAGAGAGAAAGGAATTTTAGATCATATAAAATACGGGGAAAGAAAGATGGAAAAATGACATTACATCACCACGCGATGTTCTGCAATATTATTTTTTGTGTTATCCATTTTACGAAATGGAATTCGTCTGATTTTAAGCGCTGCGGAGACGTTATAGTAACGTAATTGTCACTTTTTTAATAACTGGACTGATTTTACTTCTTTTTATTATTATTACTATATTATTATTAATATTATATTTTTACTACTATTACTATCAACATTACTACTAGCGCTACTATTGCTCCTACTACTATTATCGCTACTACTATTATTACTACTACCACTACTACTCTATCACTATTACTACTATTTCCACTATCATCACTACTATCGCTCTCATTATTGTTACTGTCGCTCTTTACTACTATACTCCGTCTAGAGAATGAGCATACTTAAAGGGTTGCCGCTTTGTCGCATAAGTTAATATCTTTAAAACTTAATCTCAACTGTACCCGAGAAGCACGTATAGCGGCGTGTATGCTTTGTAGTTTACGCACAGATCTCGTGATTTTTCGATTTGGTTGACGGATTTCATCCCATTTTTTTTCCTTTTTTTCTTGTTTTTATAAGATAATAAGCTGAAAACGCGAGTAAATATACAATAATGGATATTAAGGGCCTTACGTGAAGATGGACGAGCAAACGTATGAGGTATAGAAATTTGATATTATAAAGTAGCAGCGAAATTCGAGGGAGGTAGACTGGCGCTACACGTTATGGCGCGACATCGAAATCTGTGGCTTTAAATTATAAGCATACATCGTATCTAATCTATTTAGCATGTGTTAAAGTAGCGTCGCGAGTAATGTAGCATAATATTTTTTCGTGCAAGCAGAAAATTAAATTTATTAAAATCGCATAACGCTAGTGAATAATAACCGAGTAACGTGGAGTAAGGAAAAAAAATATATATAACGAAAGACTGAATAATTCACGCGCCACGGTCCGTCGATTTAGATTATCTGGATGCTTCACTATCCCTTCCGTTCGCGCGGACTTCGTGCGTGCGTGAATAGAATAATTGGAGAAGACTGCGAAGAAGGAAAAACTTGTCAAAATAATTAAGAATTAGCGAGCGCGCGAGAGAAAGTAAGAGCGAAAGAGATTAAAAAGAAAAAATGAGCGGGAGAGTACCGAGGTTGAGGAAGATGAAATTAGTTAATTAGTATATATTATAAGATTAGTGATTATTGTAACAATTATATTCTGCTAGAGGGTAATACGTGTAAGATCGCGCGGTGATTTCTCGAATCCAGGAGTATCCTGCTAAGTAAAAGCTAAGAACTGTCTATATTTAATAATAATCGTACACACTGAAGGGAATGAGACCATACTTAATCATTATTTCGTTTCACACACGCGTGATATCTTTTACTCGATCAGCGGCAATAGCAGCACCAAAACTGTATCCGATCGGTTATATACATATATATTGCGAAGGATGAAACTCCACGAATTCCAAGAGAGATGATCAAAAGCTAGTCAAACGATACGTTTCTAATTTCTACCAGTTAACCTGTATAGTTAATTAATTGTACATTAAATCTACATACACGCATTATACCAGAATTATATAGGGGTACACTCGAGAAAGAGAGATAGAAGACACATATAATCTTACACACACATCTTACACACGTACACATAGGACATGTACACGCGCGTACACAAACCACATACATATGTTCATACTCGCCACGTTATACACGCAATAAGTGAAGCGATCCGAGCGAGAATGCATGTGAAAAAGCTCAAAGACTGCTCCTAAGCGACATCAGGAATTTCATTCAGCGTAGAATTACTACTTATATATTTCATCTAATTGAAGCGCAGCATCTAATCTCCAACTGACAAAGGCAGGACCTGAAACTATGATGAAGGATGCAAAGAGATTTTATCCGCATATACGTAAAGCGATCAAAGTTAAAAGGAAAAAAAAAGAGAAAGCAGGGGAAAAAGAAAAAAAAGTAATCAATCCTGCCGAGGATCGAAGCCGCCGCTACGTTAATTTTCTGCCGAATCGATCATTAATCTAGCGTCGTTGTTGTTTGTGGTAAGCTTTACGGAATAGCGTAAAAACATATGTACTTAGTAACTCGAACAATCTCTGTCAGGATCGATGGACGCCTGTCTTGCTCAAAATTAACTGTCGGCGGCGGTCTGTTACGTGATTTTCGAAGGCGCGTGGGCCGACGATGCGCGCGAACGAGTGTAAACGAGCGGATAAACAAATCGACGAGATGCTCGACTGAAACGTTTGATCGCAAAGTGGAGAATCACAAGGGGATTAATATGTATCCTATGTATAGGAAGCAAGCACTTCGAGTAATCACGAAGGAAGCGTCTCTCTCTCGATATAAGATAGATGTTAATAATAAATGTAAAATGCACTTATTGCATTTTGTAGTTATAAAAGAAAATGCAAAAATCTGAAACAGTTACCGAAATAGTAGGTCACGACGGTCACGAAAAGGTAACGCGAAATTTTTCCATTTCATAGCCTGTACTTGCATATTAATAGAGCAATTCAGTTCGCGTCTCATTGCGATATCAATTCTATTGGTATGTAAATACTAATGATTTACGTTTAACTCCTTGCGATTTTCCACCTCGCGGTTATCTGCACATACGCGTGTGCACATTTTATTTGCTTGACTCGTTACATTCATATCGGGTTCTCTGGCTATCCATTTAATTTGGATAGCGGTAAAATGTATACCACGCTCGCCGCGTTCTGTTATCCGCTCGTTGACCTCAAGTTCAGGATAGAACGAAAGTAGATTATGTACTTGGGTAAAAAAATTCGCGGGTTGTGCTTTGGCCGGATACTTGCAGCGACCATCAACTGTTTAAGAGTTGCGCTACTGATGATCACAGTAGTAATCATAATAGACTGTCGGAATGATTTTCCTTGATTGCGATTTCGAGGACAAGACGATGCGAGTTTCCGGCTGAGGACTTTCACGACGAGACCCAGATAGCAAATGGCAATTAGATCCGATGTGGATAAGCATATAGGACCGACGCGTCGTAGCGACTGATTTTACTTTAAAGAAAGCGCGTCGCGCGACCGGAAAGCACGCCGCGAGACGCTTTTTTCTTGTACGCGGGGTCTTGCACCCCCCCCGCTGGAGTACTAGTGTTCACGTTTTGCCGCAGCTTCTCCGGATAATATTAGATAAGTCGTAATAAGACCCTTCGTCAGATTGCTAACTGGGGATACCTTAGTCACATAAGTAAGCTGGGCAACTTGTAAAAATGCAATTTTTGTACTGTTATAAAAAGTTAAATAGACGAGGTACACTGACGTTGTAGCGTGAAAGAGCATTTTTCAATAAAAGATTTTTCATACGCATATACATCGCGTACTACGATTATTTATTAATATTAAGCCTGCATACACAGAAATTGGAGAGAATCGGTTTGCGAAGAGAAATCGATTCCGAAACGTTTATCTTTTATTCCATTATCTTATTACAAGAAATTGAACTTATATATCTTGTAAAAACAATTTTCTGATGAAAGAACAAAACAACGTTAATATTTCACGGTATCAATTTTTTAAAGGTATCACCATCAGACATTTCAATCAGATAGTAATTTTTATTTAAAACAAATTGATATTCGATTACTTTTTGCATAGCTATGTCTAGTTAAAAATGTGATTTCATCTACTTATCTTAAATATTTGTTACGTATTCGGATGGTAGGATTTTCAGATGAGACGAGATGGTATAAAAATGAAATAGAACCGTGATTGATTTTGTAGTTCTCTAAACAGCATTTATTTTCTTCTTTTGTTACATTTCTGAAGTCGCGTTCCTATCCGGGAACGTTGTGCACAGTTTTAACGGTGAAAGATAATATTAAACGTCGATACAATGTCATCGTTCCGTGTAATATATAAATGTTTAGACCTGTGCCGGCGACAAACGCGTACGCCGAATCTAGAATCGTGTGATTTTGTTCGATCAACTTGCGTCGTCATCGTTTCTTCGTTTCCCACCCACCATCTCTAACGGAATGGCTACGTACACACGCAGGGATGCAATATATTATATATCTTCTCACAATCGATGTAAGGTTGTTGAAATATCGGATACGATTACAAAACGATTCGCGCTGAATTCCCTGATAAAACGGGGCCATTATACACTCATGAATTTAACTTCCTTTAAATTGCACTGACAGCCTTGATTAAATTAAAATCTCGTTGCCATTTTTTTGTCTACATCACTCGTACAGCATGAGGGATCAGACAACAGAAACGATCTAAAGATCTTCCTGAAATTTTAGACGTCTCTCTTTTTGTGTTGATTGAGAATTAAGTAGCTAATGTTAGAAAATGTTGATGGAAGATTTTTCATCCAGACTCTCAAGCTGTAATGTAGAGCTAGACAGAGAAAGAGAATTTAATTAATCACGGTGGTAGAGTACAACGTATTAGCACTTTGCTGTTCGTACCAAACATTTGAAGAACCTCCCCTCGTTTTCTATACACTCACGCGTTCCGTCTAGTATACGAAGTGGCTACAAAATAATAATAAATACTTACGGCCTACCTAACGACTACTCTTGAGTTTGAAATGCAAAGGATCAATCATCGCTTAATTCATACAGTTAAATAGACAGTATCCACATACTTAAAGTTAAATCGTAATTTAATATATATGTTCGGTATAATATAAACATCGATTTATATCTCGCTTCCTCTCTTCATCACGCATACACATAACACGGGCGCGTAAATTCTACCTTTGTCTATACACGTATTTACATAGATCGACGATACGTTTTTACTGTTACGAACGTATATCAACATGACACTGTTGATGCGTTTGCGATGAAATTCATGAATTCCAGGACAACGTAGAATGAGGTGAGAGACTGTTTAATTTAGTGTTAAATAGTTTAGCTAATCACGCTTTCCTTTATTACAGATATTGCATATTGAAGTTATAGAGGAGATACAACTTCAATACAACGCTACGTATCGTTAGGCGAGCTTACCTATTTTATCGCTTTGACTTAAAAACAGAATTGCATCGAACCGAAACTATTTTCTTTAATCAGTTGTATATTCAAGATTTTTCTATAGAAATTTCTATCAAACTGACGGTTTCCAGGACAACAATCTTATCTTGCCTAAACGTGATAACGACTTGACTGGGCATGTTACTGCTATGTAAGTATCGTCGAAGAAAGATTTTTCGAGGATGATTAAGAGGGAACAGAAAATGCTAAGAGTGCGCCCTCGCTGAAGAATTTTTATTATAAATTCCCAACCCAGTAGTTTGAATTTAAAAATTCTGTAATATACCATCTATATCGTTTTTATATTATTTTTAGACAATAACAGGTAATATATTCTTTTCTTTTTAAAGCAGAACAATTTTTTCATAAAAGTGAATCTATCTTTATGAAAAAATTGTTTTCGGTAACGGCATCTTTAGCTTTCCCATTTTCTCTCCTGAATTCTATAGACTGCGAACTATGAGTTGATTAATTTTTTTTTAAACTGTCGATAAGAAAATCTATTTTCTTTAAACGCGAGAATAATAAAATGCAGTAAATTAAAAAAATAAAATTTAAACAGTTCACTCTTCAGATAGAAACATATGTATACACACACATCTACATATATAAATAAGGATTCGGATATACTTTTATTTCTACGAATAAAACCGAAAAATATTAGAAACTCTTAGTAGCAACGTTTTTGGATGAAGAAGTATGTGTTAAGCGTTGCATCCTTAAATGAAACAATTACATTTAGGAGATAGTGTCACAGCTAATAGCTTGCAGCGGGATACTTTAGTTTTCGTCTATGTACAAAGCTTTATAATAATCGTAAGGAAAACAGTCCAGTTTCAATAATCGTTCGTGCTAGCCGTCGATACACGATCTGTGCAATTGAAACGATCATATTACACGACGAACACACGTCGATTAAACTGTTTACTGAATCGTGGCGATTTGTGGAGTCATTTTACCGATCGGCAGCGGTATGTAATTACGTTATTAATAATATCGCTTTCACTGCACAGCTTTCCCCGTTCCGTTCGGGAAACGATTTTGCCGATAAACGCCAATAGACTAAAATGACTCCGCAAACGCTCCGTTTTCGACGGCTCTCTCCTTTCGCAAAATCCTCTTTGGTCTCGTGCAAATAGAATATTGTTAATACAACGCGACGTGAAGAATTCCGCCTGTCGCGTCACATTACACGTTTTCATCATGTTTCGTAGCACGCTTGGCGACTAATAATCGGTCTCGAGCCCCGTATTCTATTTGAGGATCGACTAATATGTAGTATGGCATTACAGAAAGAAAAAAAATGTACACACAGTCGTACATAACGACTTTCTTAAATCGAGTACGCTAATAATACTTGTCATGCAATATCGGTGTATGGCGTACAACATCTCGTGCTCGACGCTAAAATTCACCTCCCCACATTTCCTCTTACGCTAAATTTAATCGTCTCTCCTCCGCTCTGCTAAAGGCTACGGTTCGCATTCGTACATTCTCACATTTAACGCCAAACGTGGTCGTTTGATTATGAGATTTATTTGTCTCGTACGAAGATCGCGTTTAACAGTAATCCTAGACTTAGAATCGACATTATTTCGCGCTAAATGCGGAATATAAATACGGCTCTATGTATCGCGAGTTCATCTATCCCTACGTTAAATCGATCCGTTATTGGCAGTACAGAAAAAAGAAGTGTGCGCCAGATCAATAGAACGTACAAACGGCGAGACGTCAAAACCGTGCGTATCTCTTTCCAGCACTCTTCCAATCGCCAGAGTGTGTTATATAGGATTTCACTAGACACTGGTACAATCACCAAAAGCTCATATCCTTCTAATCCGCATTTAAGAGTCTCTTTTATAATTTTTTAAGCTACGTATAGTTATTTATCATTATATATTTATTACGTTTTCTCTGTTGATAGATGCTTATTTGTGTGTGTTCTTTTTCGGGCGTTTCTCCATGTAAACCGAAATGCATCGGATAAAATCTACGTTATCTCTACGTTATTCATTTGGTTTGGAAAATGTAACTCGTCTCACAATTTGTTCGTACATGCGTTATTTCATAGTAACTAATAATCTACTCTGAAATATAATATATATATCACATTCTTTTTAGCGTCGCGATTCCGCGATATCGAGAAGCGTTCTCAATTCCGATCTTAACGTCAGCCGCTGCAACGCGCGACGTACCTATATTTTTGCCAACGTCATTCTCGACGTCATACTTTGTTAGCCGGATTTTTATCTTGCAACTAGATTACAATGCGAACAATTGCGTACCGTATATAATATGAATTAGACGAATACATATAAGATCTCTCTACATATAAACTCTTCAGATACAACATTCCTCGACAAACACCGGAAACCCGCGAATGTCGACATCGCGGCGTTTGTACAGTTTCTTTTCTCCCTCGTGTTTCCAAAAACCGAGAGTCACCTTCTCGAGGAAAGATAAACCCTGCTGCGTAATCATATCTGCGTAATCATGCCCGGATGACGAGACGAAATTCCGAGTATTCCATTATCGACTGTAATAGTCACATACCTTCGATAGTTTCAATATGATTGTCATCCGGCGTAAGACACTAATACTCGGCTTTTTCAATAATCACGCAGTTAACACAATCCATGGCGTACGTATTGATTACAGCCCGTGCAAAATCTTCGAGGTATCTATTAATTTATGAATAAAGTAAATTGTAATTTACTTTCTAATTTTCCTGAAATATAAATACTCTCTGGTACGCGTTGATGTTGCATTATAAGACGACAAAAAGTGAATTAAAATTTATCACAAGATATTTGATCGGTTTAAAATCATCCGTAAAGTAGGATTGAATACCATTGCATCAGCAGAAATAACTCTGCACCGGAGTAGATAAAAATTTTAGAATCTTTTTAGTGTTTACAGAATTGTAGAGATCTTCCGGGACGATAAAAGTCAAACTTACACGTAATTAAACTACCGAATGAAAGGAATAGTAATGTAATTTATACCAATAACAATAGAACTTCAATGTGTATCACCTTTTATATCTAATTATATATTTTGACATAATATAAAATTGTATTATTTTATATAGAGATAAATGAACTTTCCTCCTTATAAAAAACAAGAATCTAATCTCAGAGTAAACACATAAACTTGTCTCATGCTTTTGAAAAAAATAAAATAAAATAAATGTATATCTCTATTCTACTTGATTTTCTAAAGTATTTACTCCATTTGCAGGTGCAAAATTGCCCATGTTGATGCACTTTTCATTCCAATTTCTTACAAATATCGATTTTCCTAGGGAACATAAAAAAATGAGAGAATCAAGATGCGGATTAAACTCTTTAACGGCGCTCGTCAATATCCAAAGTTTCTTCCTTCAGACGCTTATGACCGCTTCAACTCTGAAGAGACGACGGAAAGATGGCTTCACTCCTTCGGCTTCCTCAGCCAGTTTCTACGGCCGAGGCTGGCGACGCTCATCGAACTGGCAGTGCTGGTGACGCTCGCCAACGAGTTCAGGCTTACCGAATGTTAATCCTGTAGCATGTGTACGAAACTAATCGGAAACATGCCCCGCCGTTCCGGCGCCCGTTCTAATGCACCTTCCATCCAGTTGTCATCGTCGGTCTGCTCGTTCGTCACGATGATGACCTCACCCTCGCGGAACGACAGCTCGTCCTCGTTGTCGGCCTCGCAATCGTACAGGGCCCGGCAGCGTCGCAGGCCACTCAAAGTCGACGACGTTGGCTGGGGATGGAATGAAAAAAAGTCACTTCGTAGAACCGGCAAATACCGTAACGTGCATGTTTCGACCGTCTGGCAGAAGCAAGCACTTTTATTGCTCGTACCTTTGTCACGAGACGACAAGCTTAAGAATGTTTGTTCTCCAGAAATTAGGAGAATATTGGAAATTCTAGGAGAATTACAAATTCAGCGAATGATATGAGACATCGTTTAATTAATTAACTCATGAATAATTTATTTTACTCCTTATTTAACTGATATTCATTCTTTGCAGAATTGGAAAAAAGAAAGAAATTAATTAAAATTGTCATTAAAGCAGATTATAATAAGTAAATATATCCAAGAAAAATAACATTTTATTCAGATATGAAGGATAGGCAGATTTTCAAGAATATTTTGACATGTGCCTCTAGTAAAATATGCTGGAACTAGAATTTCCAATATAAAACACCGATATCATGCTAGTTATATGCCTTTTAATATTCGAATAGTTTAGGCCGTTTAGGGTAAGAGAATTTTTAAGGGGAAATATCTCACGTGTCGAAAGAAGTAGCATAATGCGATCAAGTATTGCCAAACATTAATTCACTCGGGGAAACCCATGCGAGGATCAGTATTTACAATTATACTTTATATTACAGTGTCTAAAGTATTACTCATACATTAGCCATAAGAATGATTCGTTGACAGAATACCATTTTTTAAATAAAGAAGTCACACGTAGACTAGTGATCTAGATAGGATTAATAAATGACCGGGATGTGGATGTTAGTTCGAACACAATCCAACGTGTTTCACCTTGCGGCGTTTCGCGGTGAGGAGTCCAATTATGAAGTTACATGTCTTGTATAAAAGAGATTTATATTATTTATTATCTCAATCGATAAAGAGTGTCCGATCGTGATTAAAATGGCAATGAGATCTAAATGATTATTTGGCATACGTGGAAATAATACTTAAAGCCTCGACGTGAGCTGCATAAATGATGACACGAACAGCACGTCTGATCATGCAAAGCATTGTTACACTTGAAAGTATCGTTGGCAAGTGAAGTGAGAAGAGTAAACTCTTGTCATTCAGATTTGTCATTATGGTATGGATTACAATCTTTCTCTTCGAAAGATTACGTTTTTCTATTATACATAGAATACAATATTAATTAATCAATATAATTATATACAGCTATCACATGCTTCGTATTATGATTGATAACACGTGAAACTATCCTTACGTAGATACAAGTATAACGATATGCATGAAACTCGTTTACAAGTGGTTTCAAGTGTAACATGCTGTAATGTGGGATGGCTGATGTTTACCAGATTCAGATTTGGGAGCAAAGATGAAGGCTCCTCCGCGTAGCTCTCTAGCCTGGACCGGTCCCTTCGCTGTACCAACAATGGTTAATGACAAACCGTAAAGCACTGAAGACTTGAAATGCATGCATTCTCTACTTATCCACACATCATAGATACACGTTATATATTTTATTCGAATTGAGATCGTAGCAAATTGACTGTTTTTAATACGCGATAAATTGGTGAATATTTGTAGTTTTTTCCTCCGCTTATTGCTTTATCGAATAATTTTATCTCGACAATTATTTCGTGAAATACTTTCAATATTCGAATGATTTTCTCTTCTAAAATATAATGGAAGTTAATCAATCATTAAGAATATTAGCGCTTTCGATGTTATCTTCAGGACATTGTTTTTCATGAAGTTTACTGAAAAATGATTATTTATTATGACGTGAAATGACAATAAATGGATGATGGCTAGAATAATACAATGATAATGAAATTCTATGACATATTATTATATTGATGATTAAGACTAAATATATTGTACAACATTAACGTATCTTGATATTATGATAATATAATGGAATGTGAAAGGGTACAAATAATATATTGATGTGCGTGACGTATGGTTAGTATAATGCAAAATGCTCAAGCTCCCATGAATGAATCGAATGAAAACTATACTACGAAGGAGAACACAATGGCACACCCTGGTTAGTTACATCTTTTTCTCTACTGTGTTAATATAACAACGGCAACCATCCGATAGAATGTGTATGTGTGCAAATAGGTAAGATGTGAGACAGTGGAATAATTGTCGACGTCATTCGTTAGGCAATACAAAGATGATGTAATATCGATTTCGGCATATAATTATGGTAGTAGCTCTGTTCGAAGGTAAACTAGAGAACGATTTAAGATTTCGTATGAGTGAGAGCTTTGCATATTCGACATAGCTTTATGAATTTTATATAGAGACTTATGATTTTTAGATTCTCAGTTTTGCTAAGATTGTTGGGACCTTGTAATATTATATTTATGATCGTTTTCTTTTAATTTAAGATATTTACCAAAGTTGTTAAAATTCCTTTTCTAAGATTACATTTTTATCAAAATACATTTGCTACCGTCTTGCATTTACTGAAGCAACATGATTCACTTGAAATATATACACATTATAATTTTATATAAATAAGACTCAATATGTAAAGCACTCGCTTAATTCGAATCTCCTTTCAGATCATATAGAATTTACATTTTAGATAACTCTTTTTAAGAATCCTAAACAAATTTCTATCCAAAGCTTTAAAATCCTCAAAGTAAGACACTTATGAATATAGAAAGATAACGATATTTTTAACACGAAAAGTATTTATTTCTCGAGATAAACACAATATCCTGCCCAATCCCTGCGAAATCTCTAAATTCCTATTGAGGTAATTGTTAGCTTAAATGGCTTACCTTTCGCGGCGGCGGAATAGGATTGCCCAGACCATGATCCGAACACATAGAACTCAGGGACTCGCTGCTACGTCCGTTGCTTAGCCTAGTTGTGACACTGGATGGCGCCGGAGGCGGTGGATTTCGCGGTCTCTGCAGCGTCGAACTGTTCCCTTTGTCCATACCTGTATGCAGAAAAAGAGAGATAAGTATCGATATGATAATTAGAATGTCAGAGCTTCTCCTGTGAGATTTATTTATCGAATGTACCGTATCCGGTCGACGAGTCGCCGCTCGGTGATCTCTTATGATGTTGGCTATTTAGTGTATTCAACGTATGCGGTAGAGTGTGTAAAGTGTGGCCGGCTAAAATCGGCTCGCTGGTCGTACGACTGTGCGTCGACGTAGCCAACGAAGGTAGCGTACCGTAGTGCGACGACGGCAGGACAACGCCGCTCGCAACAGAGTTTCCAGCGGGCGGCGGGGGCGGCGCAACCCGCTTCTTCAGCGAGCCGTGGATGTTCACTGAAATGTCCGGCGCCATGGGAGTGGGCACTGCGCCAATGGATTCGCATAATCAAGATATCAGGCAGTAAAAAATGTAAAAAGATTACGGAAAATCAGTTATTTAAATCAGCATACTTGGCAGATCCATCGCGCAACGTGAAAAGTATAAGAGTACAAATCCAGCTTACCAGCTACGGGTTTCCTCGCTTGCGGCGGTGGCGGCGGAGGCATTTGCTGACGGTTCGTCGAGGCGCTCGGAGAGGATCCGCTCTGTAAGCTGTCACAGGTGCTGCTCCGACTGCGTAATGTCACCGGCGAATCACCCGATCCCGTACCGCCACCTCCGGCATATGACGGTGGTCTACTACGTGACTTTTTCTCAGGCGTTAGACATCCATTCTAGAAGAGAAAATGCATATTTGTGAGTATGAATGTAGGTGGTTACATGTAGATGTAAATTTTAGGAGTATCGCGATGCACGTTTATGTTAATACACTTACCCTGTCTTCTATTATCGTTTCGTCATCGGAGAAGTCCGTGGAACCCTCATCGTGAGAAAGATTCCAGTCAATATTGACGTTATCAAACAAAGTTTTTTGCCTCTGGAGAGCGTGACTGAGCTGAAAATTATTCGTTGACTTTTTTATACGATTCTTTAAAGCATAAGGAATTGTTTTACACAATGTATGTCTTGATTGAACAAAGATTACAGTAAATTATAAGAAAATTTACTTTATTATTAAATTTTTATTATTATATTCTTTAAATTACAAGGAAAATTAATTCTGAATGATAAAGTTAAATAATAATGAAAAATATGTGTTTATTAGAAAAATCATACGAAGGAAAGAAGATAGGAAAAAATAACAAGAAATATATACAAGATACGATTTGTTGAATTACCAGTTCTTTGCATGTGTGGTGTCCTACTTCCTGTGCGATGTCCAGCGGTGTCTTATCCTGCTTGTTTCGCAGGGAGGGATCCGCGCCAGCTCTTAGAAGCAGCTTCATCGCTTCCGCTCTGTCGTGTCGCGCGGAAAGATGTAACGCCGTTTCACCATCGATAGTCGCCCTGTCGATACCGCCGCTCGGCATATTTTGCACCAGAAAGTCCACGATGTGCAGACTGCTACCCATTTCGCGCAGAATGGCCAAGTGTAACGCTGTTTCGCCTACATCCTGAAATAGATATTGGTTTCTTGGAATTTGTTTCTCATTAACGTAATTGTGAGAAAGCATTTCTCTCAATTATCTCCTTAGATATGAGAAAGAGCTCTATAAAGGCAGTTACAATGGCTTACCGATGTCGGTAATGGCGCAGCCAAATCCACGTTCTCGGCGTAAACTTGCAGAAGTTGCTGCAGGTCGCGATTATTAACGGCGTGCTCCAAATCGGAAAGTAGATCGCGCTCGTCCGCGCACGTGTTCATCACGTATCTCTTGTCCACGTATTTGGCGCGTATAAACTCGTATCTCTCTTCCCTAAATACCAGAAAATAAATGTGAAAACGCCGAGCAAAGTGAAAGTACGAATGCTTGGTAAAATGTCGAGTGCGAGCATGCGAATGAATTGTTAGAAAACTGCAAATACGCTTACATTGTCGACGTCGGCGACGGCTTGAGATTGTGACGTAACGTTGCCTCCATCACCTCGTTGAACGCCTGATTCGTCATGTGCCGCGCGAGCAACAGCTGAGCGGTGCCGACGTTATCCAGCGTCAGGGACTGTATCCGCGATATGTGCACGCCCAAGTCTCGGTGGATGCCGCTGCACTCTATGCATACTATTATGCCGAAGTTCGTCGACAGCCACGTGGCGTCTGAAAAGGAGACACAATTGTCGTTTGATAACAGAACGCTCCCGCGGGAAGTGGAGCGCGAGTTGCCGTTTCGTTCGGCTTTGTCACGCGGTACCGTCTACGACAATGCCCGGCCAGCGAACCGACGGGCATTCACATTACTTGACGACATAAACGTGTTTTCGGTGGCCTCTCAAAAACCTTCGGTCTATATTAATTTAATTTAACAGACTTTATTAATTTAATAAAAGATAAATTATCGTATGTTGCTATGTAACGTTAAATAACTGCCTGCCTAATAATAAGGAATTACCATTATAAAAAGATTTGGTAGAAATTAATATAAATAAATCGATTCTCTATCTCATAATATGTTAATTTTACGGAGAAATCGTTTTAGCATGCTCCAAGTGTAACGGACGGACTTGGCACGCGTCGGAGAAAGGCCGGCCGGCCGGCCACTAAATGATCCACGATATTCATGTTACCGTTCTGCGAGGAGCAATCACAGCACTGATCGTTTCCGGGTAATCGCATAACGCATCGTATAACAGCCTGCTGCAGCTCTACGAGGCTAGGATTGCCGCTGCCGGCCTCCGCCTTGCCGCTCGCATCGAACGCCCGCAACAGGGCGCGTTCCTTGCAATTCACGAGAACCGACATCCACGCGCGCTGGTCCGCCTCATCCTCCGCTTGAAAGTGGTACGTCCTATTGTCTGGAATCGAAACAATGACAGTATTACGCGGCGTCCGTTCATTGTGAAGAGAGACACGACGGACGGGCGTCTCTTGGAAGCTCGCTCGTATATCAAGCGTAACACTTACAGCTTATGAGATCGAAGCCTCGCTTGTCGTCCGGTACTAACTTAATCTGGCAGGTCAATAGGTTCACCCTGGTGGGCGGCTTGTTCTCGTCCGCGTGGCAGATATCAAGGTAGCCCTCCGCCTGCACGGCGCATCGCCTCTTCTGCCAGACTCGCCTCATCTTGCCCTCGCTCTTCTTCAGCAGGTGGCCGGAGCGCGTGACGCCGTGTTGTTTGTCGCCCTGCAGCTGGTGCAGCGAGTAACCCGCGTTCGCGTTCGCGTTCAGCTGCGACCGCATAAGATTTATAGCTTAAGATTTATGTACGATGCTGCTTACAATTTATGTGCAATATGAAGTGCAATATAAAGCGCGATAATGGGATGACTAAATAATAATCCAAAACTTTGCAAAAATCTTGAGTACAAGGCAGCTAAATCTAAGATAAAAATATTAGCAAAGTTTTAATTTTAGTAATTAATTTTATATTAAATAAGCCAATATGAATAAGATGACGTTTGAAGAAAAACGCGGTTGTGTACAGTTTAATATCAAACGAAAATGAAAAAAAGCAACGGTATCAATTAAAGACTATTAAATCTCTCATCGCACTTTCTATGACGAATTGACCTTGTAAAAAAATCTAACTTTCGACAGTTTTACCTCTTTGTCACATCCGGAGCTTCTAAGAAGGCTCCTAAGTTCCGTTAGTCGTCTCCGTTCCTCATCCTGCGTCTGTCTGATTTTTTGCAGCTTCACGCTCAGGTCGGCCACGTACGAGCCGAAGTGCTCAATGGTCTTCAAGCCGTCCTGAAAGTAACTAAATTCCCGAGAACGTAAGAACGTTAGAAAATCGAATTGGCCGTTCTTCGATCGTTCTTCAGTTCCCATTATGCTCCATATAAATTGAAAAAAAGCTTTAGAGATAAATATTTACTATGATAACTTGAAGAACAATTTGATATCGTCGTGAATCCGCGACACGAATAACATTAATGAAAGGATTAACTGCGTTATACTTACTTTGTTTGCGCGTGATAATATTCGACTAGATGCTGCAACAGTTCGATACCCTTCTTCGTTTTGATCTCGTTCACTTTAATCAGATACTGTAAGCAAACATATACAGTAATGATCAGGCACTTCTGCGTCTCTACCCTCGTTCTGCTCAAATATATTTTTATCGAGCGTATCATAAAAGCGATCTGCAAATACGAGGTGTGCGAGAACCATTGCCACTCCTTTAATCTATAGATCGTCCTAAGAAGTTTGATTAGGATCCACCCATTTTTAGCGAGTAAATTTTAGCATTGAGCACTCTGGTAACTAGGTCTCAAATTACAGTCCTCAATTTCACGTAGTAATTTTATTGAAATATTTATGATTTAGTGCACCGAAAGAGGTTTTTTACTTTTAATCGCGCATAAATGATTCTATGAATTATTTTATTTGAGAGAGAGAAAGAGAGAAAATAGAGTTAAATTAATTTATATTTTGTTAAATAAAATTATTATATACTTATTATACTTTATTAAATTAATTCAATTTCATATTTGCCATGTTATACATGTATTATTTATATTAAATTCGTTATAGTATTTCAACTACATAACTACATCTAAAATAGAATGTAGTTCTCAGACACCTTGTACCGATTAGTCGAATGCAAAATGTAAACCGCGAAAAGTCGAAAAGAGTAGACTGGAATGTAAAATGTAAATGAAGTTCTCGAGTTAGAAAGGTATACACTTTTCAGCTGACGCACGATACGGTATCTAAACGACCGGATATCGATGCATGCGCATCGATAACGCATACATCGCTAGCGTCCATACGTCTCTCTCGTTGGCGTGATGTTACACCGTTTATACTTCATAGCACGGATCTACATCACCTACCTCGCACATTTGCAACTGAAACAACCGTCTCTCCTTCTCCATCTCGTCTGCGATCTCGGCGGGCGTGACCTCCGTACGAATCAGACCGGCCTCCTTCGCGTGCTGCTTCTTCTCCTTTTCGATTTTTGCGTATTTAGCTTCATAGTCCTTCCAGGCTTTCTCGAAGGGCCTCTTCAGGTCCCCCTTCACGCCCCTCAGATCGCCCTTCAGCACCGAATCCAACGGAAACATCACGATGTTGTTGATGTTTTGCATCTGTGAAATCATAAAATCAATAGTTAATAAATATTTTATTTCATTAATTTAAGTAACACGTTAAAAGACTTGCTAAACTTCGAAGTTACGAAAAACTTAGAATATACGTTTTAGAAAGAAATGAAGAAAAACATAAAAAAGTTACATTTTCCTAAATAAATTTATTAGTCAAGATATATAAATAAAAAAAAACATTTATCTAAGTATTTAAGTACATTAATGCACTTAATGAATTATATATATTTTTGCAACAATAAATAATCAGAAGGTATTAAGTTTTGTTGTGCCGCACAGCATCCGCGGTGGCCGACTACGGCCAATATTCCGATAAAAATACCGATGGCGCACATGCTACGGTATCTATTAGATACAGACGTGAAAATATTAGCTTTCCTTATCTCCGCGGAACGGCACGAGCTATTTCAGATTGACCGGAGCGCAATATTTTATCTATTTATCGGAATAACCGGTCTGACAGGGACTCGAATGGAAAAATAGCGATGAAAAATGCGAGTCTTCGGGATTCCGTAGCCAGGGATCCACCGACCGGGCTCTATCCGACCGGTAAATAGTGAATCACCGTCGATTCGCGTCAGCACTTGGCTTAGCCCGTCCGCGTCGATCGCCTCGCTCGCCCTGAATAGAACGCGGCTTCCTCTCGGAGCCGGAGCCTGGCGCGCTCTCTCTCTCACTCTCTCTCTCTCGAGGGCGATCCCTCGGACGCTTCACGACTCCCGGCTCTCGTGGAAACTCGGCTGGAAAGCGCTCAAACGCGCCGCATAATGGGCCTGCGAGGGCAATGTGCAACCAACTCGTATAAAGGCGACACTTTTCCTCGCGAACGAAAACCGTGAATGAAAATGGCAACCTACACTTTGTTTATTTACGCCAAGTTATCCGGAATATGATAACAGAATCTCATTTAATTAATCGTTCCCTATCGAATCACTTCTGATCTTCTTAGCGGAGATTTATATTACCAGGTCACGCGAAGTAATAACGATCGATTTTAATTAATGTTTAATTACGTAAATTTATTAATGTTTGATTAACGCTTAATTATATAATTTTGTCCGATGCAAATTAAATGTTATTATTGTTATTATCAATTTAAAAAATATAAATATTAATTTTTACATTTTGATTTTTGTTCTTGAGAATGGAAGTATTGCAATAATTTTCGCAAATAACAGACACAATAAATAATCTGTAAATTCTATTTTGCTTTTTTTTCTGTAGAAAATTTTTCGAGCGATTCAAGTTATTTCTCCATGAACGTCAAGCTCTTGACATTAAGATAACATTTCATACATTCTACGAAATTATCTTCTACGAACGATAAAGAAAAATTATTGCCGAGCCCAATTACGGTTAATCGATCGGATATGCTAATCTCGAGTTCGATTTGGATATGATCGAGTGTAATCTTAGGTTCGAGCGCCAGGATATTGCTTCCGGCTCTCGTCGGAATGTATTGCGCGATTTGAACCGAAACCAATATCGGATGCAGATACATTTTAACCGATTGCACGTGTGACGTCGCGTCGTCGTAAACGATCGGACGTAATGGCCGGGATCGGGAAAAACGGTCGCGACGGCTAAAAGAATTAATAAAAAATCGCGCTTAAACGCCGGAATTTAGATTTGATCCGCGAACGTGTCCCCGATACGTCGGGAGTCACGACGGAGAGTCGCGCTGAAAATCGCGACCGCGGCGAGTGTGCGCGACGCAATGTTTAAAAGTCCCTGATAAATATAAATTCGCGCGTTCGTTCGTGCGTGATAGAATCTAGGAGAGCCTCCTGGCCGCTCGCTCTCGTGGCTTATAACGTTCGTGCACGCTTCAGTAAACGTAATTATCCCGCCGCCGTGAGACGTCCCGATTTGTGCCGCGCAGGCTAATCGCATAGCGCCGATGAGCTTAGGAAACCGTCGGAACACGGGCAGAACCAGTTTGAATTTACCACTAAATCCACGCCCGGACGATTAACATCCTCTCCTGCCTTTCTTACTTTTAGTCGATTTATTGGCGCACTGGGAGGATACTTTACAGGGACATCCGCACATTCATTTGCGCCTCTACTCTCTTGATATCAATTCTTTAGAGTTCGATAAGTCATCGAGACGACGATCCTAATTAATGTGTTATAAACCGAGCTCTTTGTGTATCAAATCCGTATCTTATTACTCTCTGGAACGAAATCAGTGTGTTACGAAAAACGGTATAGCGGCAGTTATGGCACCGCACATTCAGTAAGATCTCTCTAAAATTAATCAATTAATAAGAGACAATTTCAATCAGCGATTTTGCTGAAAACAGTGGCTCTAAATAACGAACTTGAGCATAACAAAGTATAATATATGACCCTAAATTTGAATAATTGAATATGAGTTTTATATTACGCAAAGTCCTCTCCCAAGAAATAAACAATCAAAAATATAGAAAGAGCTACATCTTGCAGATACGTGAGATTATCGTTGATTTTGCGGTGGCATTTTACTTCTCCTGGCTACAGTGAGATATAAGATAAAAGAGCACAGTGAAAATTCGCATTGAAAATAAGTGAAATACTCATCTTCAGTGAAATCTGTGTTGCTATTTTCAGCGAAATTTTCACTAGTTCGGTTTAAGAGAGTAATCAAAAGCGAAGAACGTGTTATGCTTGTCGCGGTGACATGATTTCTTCACGTGAAATTTCGTCTCTAATATACGCTTCTTCCAGATTTTTTTGCGCGAAGAAATTCTGTTAACGCGTGGACTGACTCATATATCAAGTTACTTAATTCGGCGGAGTGACGAGCAACTCCGGGCAGAATTCTCGAGAAGAGGAAGACGAGAGAAGCCACTACGGTAAAAAATTACGAGTGAGCGCCGAGGGTTTTCCTCGCTGAACACAATCATCAACCTGTAGTAATGGACGTGTAGTTGGACGTCAGAAAAATGAAAATAGACGAGCGTGGAAAGGAGACTGTTAGTATCTTTTCACGAAGTGGTGACGTAATAGATTGAGCTGTGCGAATAAAAATCACGTAATAATAATATTTCTTGTGTAATAACAATTTGTTTTATTCTTAGTTATAAAAGAGGGAGAGAGTGAAAATTTCGTGAGTTTATTCTATCTAAATAAAAAAATAACAATAAATATGTCTAAATAAAAGAAAGAGATGCGTGTTCATCTTGCTATATATGATGTATGCACGTGATAACAGTAATAGCGGTAATCTGCAGGGCGTGAAATGGTTTCTTCATGATTTGTTTCGCAGTAGTACTTGCGCGTGCTCCGCTATGCAATCTGTAAATCGGACATCTCAAGTAGCGATAAGCTCAATTTCTTCTGAAAATTCTCAAACAATTCGATCGCGTAAGACTCGAATTGCTGCGGATATTGTTCGAAACCGGAAATTCTTTAATAATATTTGAAAAGATATTCATTTCGAAATTCTTGTCGCATATTCGAAATGAGTCAATAAGGTCAATTAATCACTAATTACACGGTAGCAGTTGGGCAAATTCTGAGTCGCGAGATAAAGATTCGACAGTTAAAAATTATTCGGGCGTTGGACAAAGATTAAGCACAGAGAATCTAGAGTTTATCTTCGCATTTATCTTGTAGTCATCATTCATCGTGATCCAGGTACATAAGCGTTATATTATTCAATCGCAGTTTAAGGGCCGATTTCACAGTCTCCGATTAACTTGATCTTCCGATTAAACTCACTCTTCGTCGGGAGATTCTTTCTAAGGGAGACAGTTAGAAAGAGATGCAGAGTGAGTTTAATCGGAGGATCAAATTAATCAAAGACTGTGAAATCTGCTCTAAATGTGTCACTCGACGACGATGGAAAATTGTTCCAGTGGAACAATTCGCTCTCCTCTGGCGAGTGTTGCGAATGCCATATGTCCTCGGCTGAGGAAACGCAGTTGCCGATCCACGGCTCTTCCTCGAGAGGAGGCGCGATCGGCCATACTAATCGTGAAAGTCTCGTGCGATCGACAGCCCGCGCGGGCGCGAAATTTTATTTCGTCGCGCACGCCGGGGCACATGTTTCATATTGATCGGTTTAGAAATTCTGTTCTTGCGTGTACTAACGCGAGAAGAGCGTACTACGCCAGGCTACGTAGGTCGTTGCCGTCGGTGACGATGGACCGTGAAGAGATTTTTCCAATAACGCGTGCACGCGCGCATCGAGGACGCGCTTACGGTCGCCGTTTTAATACATCCGCGTCGATGAATTGTAAAAGTTGAGACACATCGGATGAAGGTGTCATCAGCTTGCTATTTTAAAAAATTTATCATCGGATATATTTGCTCCAACACGTGGAAGTTTTTCATATATTTTATTACGCCAACGACGCGATTATTTATCCTTTCGACACCTTTCTTTCTGTCTTAGCAAAGTCTTTCTTAATTTACCCTAATTAAATACCAGAATTTATTCGCCGTCACGTAAAATACATGGTTAAAAGCGACAAGAAGCGGAATATTCCGTGCGGCGCGAGGAATCAATAGGAATGAATGCACGGAATATTCCGTGATCTGCATACTTTGACACAAATTTTACTTGTAGGGTTTGGCACGTACCAGGGTCTTCATGAGGGCGCTCAATTCCTTCGTGACCACCGCGAATTTGAGAAACGCCGCGCCTATGTCCGGCTCCTGTTCCTTCAGTGCGGCGTCGCCGAGTCTCTCCAACGCCCTTCCTAAGTAGACCTCGTTGTCCACGTGAGCTGCGAAAAGAAAAACGCAAACGCCGTTGATTTAAATAGAATATATAATGTTCGAATATCGCGAATAAATTCCTTTCTTAATCGCGTTTACTTTTTGAAAATTGGTGTTTTAAAGATTCACGTTTATCTTATAGCAAAATAGTAGAGAATAAAACATAACAGATATACGCAAACCTATCCTAAAATTTTGCAAATTTAAAAGATCGTGAACGTTTCCCCGCATTTCTGCGAGACGGACAAATTTCTCTTCACGCATAACTATATCACATAATGTATTAAAGCGCGCGGCGCTCTTCTCCACTCGAGAATCGTGCGGCTCATAAATTTTCTAAGCGGGCATCACGCTGAATATTAATTCAGCGGCAAACATTCGTACGAGCGGCTACCATTAAGCTGCCACGCTGTTAGACTATTAAACGCCCGCAATCGCAATTAATTCCTTGGCCAGACCGCACTTTTTCCCCGCAGCAACATATCCTGCGGAGTATCCCGCGCTGCGCATCTCCGCGAAGCAGCAGCCGACTGCGGGAGAAATGACGACAGAGAGGAAAAGGAGAGAGAAAGAGGGACGAGTAATTTAACCCTTTCCGACTGTAAGACATTACATTCCTGCATTCCCCGCCTCGTATACGCCTCGAATTACGAAGCGCACAGCCTTGGCAAGGCTAACGCCACACGCTAACGTGGAATGCATTCTCTATGTACGATAAACGCCGCGATCTCTCGTTTTGCGCTCCGCGAGACATCGAGGCGGCTCCTCTTTCTTCCCCTTATCTCCTTCCTCTCTTCCGGCTTCCCGCGAATCTCCCGCGGCTGCAATCTCGAAGCGCGGAGAGAGAAACTCACTTTCCAATATATATTCCAATAATCCTCTCTCTCTCTCTCACTCTTTCTCTTTCGCTCTGCTTCTTTTTCACCGACTGTGCGCGCTCTTCTTATTGTCTTTCCTCTTCCAGCTTCCTGCAAAGTTTCTCGACCGATATCGGCTCTCGCATGTAAGTACACGACCAAGAGCATGGAATCTCGCTCGACCGCGAGACCAAGTGAAATAAAATAAAAACGTTTCGCGTCCGGTTCAAAAGAGAATGGCTTCCGTTTTTTTTTCTTCAGCGGGGATAACGTTTACTTTTTTAATGGAGACTCGCGCGCTTACGAGTTTTAACACTCTACAGGTTTGCAATAAAATATTTTCTCACCTTTACTTTTATAAATTAAACTCACATAATAGTTTTTCCATTTCTAACGCAGGACGTATAAAATAATTTTTTTTTTTTTTTAAGAATTCTATAAAAGTTCTCTGGTTACCTATATTTTATCAATTACGATCTTGTATGTATCTGCAATAATAAGAACAATGCCATAGCAATCGTTTTCAAAGTCGTCAAAATCCTTTGTTCCGCTCGTGTCTCGATGCTTCGATTTCCCTTCCAACTTGTTCCAAAACTTTCTTCCATTCAATATCCGACCGCGCTCTTTCCCCATTGGAGGAGACTGCAATCTGATTGACTCTGAGCAACGTCGAAATAAAGCGTTTATCGCTCGACCGAAGGGACTGCATCCTTCCTCCCGGGAGAAATTTCATTAGTCGAGAGAAACTTCTCGACAGGATGCACCAAAGGACGGGGGCGGGGGGAAGGAGAGAATAAAAGGTATTGTCCTTGTGTCGCGAAGTGGTGTTCAATTCATCGGCTGCGATGCGACGTGTATAATCGTGACCCATCCAGCAAAGTGGATGAACCGGCGAGAACTCATCAATCGCCTCTAGTTGATGAAACTTTCAATTACATTACATGGTAAAAAAGCGTCCCTTTCATGGAAAATGCGACAACAACGAAAGCGCTATATTGGCGCCTGTTTTAAAATCCAGCGCGAAACACGTACGTAGTTTACGGGCGCAACCGATAGATAGACTAGATGGTCATTAGACTGGCGAGTAAAACGGAGCCTGTCCAACGGAAGGGAAACTAAAAGCCCTCGTTGGAGGCCAAATGCCGGTAGTATATCGCGTCATTACGATTCTATAAATCAAACTTCCGATTGCGCATTCCGACGTTTCTCAGTCCTCGCGGCATAAACGACTTCCGCTCGAATCCGTTCGCCTTCTGTACCTTCTTTTCAGAGCGCACGGAGAGGAGTGTCCTATTCGAGGGAATTTATCAGAAGGGACCACACCGTGCGGACCTCTGGCGCCCGTTAACGTTTCCTCCATTCTTGTCTCCCCCGCGAAATTTATCGGCCCTCGCGCCCCATTACTCTCCGCGTCGTCGTCGTCGTCGTCCCCGCTCGTCGCCGGGAAATTACGCGGAAACCACGTGGGAGGGCCGCGGCCTAACGGCACCGTAGCTTTTCACGGCTCCGGAAATGCTAATGTATTGCCCCTGAATATTTCAATCGCGTCGTACGAGCGCGGTATTACTGCTCCAGCCACGGATACATCTCTGAAATTGCATCTTTCATGAGCGCGCATCAGCTCTAGGAGATAAACGAGCGGGTGTAAAATCGTACGTTGCGACTTCTACATACATTCGCCAAGAACAATTTTTCATCGAAAGAGATATTTATGAGCAGTGCGCTTTTCTAATCACACAGTCCGATTCAAACGAATAATTATATAATAATATAATATAATTAACATATACTTAATATATATATAAGTATATACATATTTCGTCGGGCCAAATTTTTTTTTAACCGTACCTGCAGAACGATTGAATACCCACGTTCCCGTCTGTTGTGTCGGCGAAGCGCTTCCGGTCGAAAGAGAGAATATCGGGGTGCACGAGTGCTCCCGCGGGCCCATTGTCTCCAAGGGACAACACGCGCGTCACGGCATACGATTCGCGCCCGGGGTACTCGGAGCGATACATCCTGTCTATCGTCAGGTAGCGGGCGGAGACGGGAGAAAGAAACAGAGAAAGAGAAAGGATGGGTAACGGGCAGGAAAAAACCGGGGGCGGAGAGGCGAAATCGGACATGCCGAAACGATATCGGGAGAAAAGTTGATCCATTGTGGTCCGACGCGGAAATAATGCTGACCAGTCTGATACGGATGGAGTCGCGATTTCCAGGGGTCGATTGACGAGTGAAAAATGGCCCGAGAGATCGTCCGAACTCGTAAAAAAATACAACGCACCGCGGGCAAACAAACGCGGGCGTTTAATAATACATCGCGTTTCGATTGCGCGTGACAGCGATTCGTTGTTCTGCGATTATTATTCCTGGAAAGTGGTGTGAGTGACGTTTTCGATGTTTTCGTTAATTTCTGTGAAAATACTCGCTAGGTGATTTATTTCCTTCACTGAATGGAAGCTTTTATTTTTGCCGGCATTATTATTTTTAGACAATTAGATTTTTTGTCACTGCTATTGACGTTTGTGTAAATAGGATAATATCACAAATTTAGTACTTGTAGTCTAATAATAGAAAAGATATCAAGATAACGATGTAACGACACAGATAAATAATTATAGCTTGAAAAAATTATATTACACTATATTGTATAATAGTAATTAAAGATAAGTAGTAAAATCATGTACTCATTTAAAAAAATTTGAAATTACGCTAAATCATACATATAGGAACACAAAAGAGTAAACATTCATCACTTATTCATTGCTGCACTTAGTTTATTATTTTCTTTCACGTTGATTGCAAGTGTTGTTACGCGATATTTTGCGATTTATTTTTAGAGAACCGTAATAACGGTCTTAATAGAGATAAGCAACGTGATATGAGGTAGATAAGATGACAATTAGCGTAAAGGAGATTTCCCGTGATTACAAGCTAATGAAGCATAACGGCGAAGATGAGAACCTTAGTAACGTGAGCGATGAAGAGGTTGCGGTAAGGAAAGGGTTACGCTGAGCACAAAGATAAACGAGCAAAATCAGTAAAGCGAGTGACCTGAAGGTGGACCTGAAGAGATAACAAGGAATTTTGAACGAAATGTTTAATTTAAGATTAAATTAGCCGTTAGATTTTATGAAGCCTCTTGTAAATTAAAATTCGATATTATTGGTATTAGGTACTCCATAAACTCTATATTGCATGGAAAAGTTATGCATTTTGCATCTATGTGAACACCTAGCCTCCCATTATTGAAAAGTTCGGATGTATATGATATAATTAAGTGCTAATTTATTACTAATTTATTGTTCTACCACCAAATTTATTGCTCTTACTCATTCGCAGGAAATTAATATCAAAATCGATGTTGACTTCATTGTTACACTAGCACACTTCCACTTCCGAAAAACACGGTACATCAGAATATCGTAAACAAAAACTGATGTATCAAAATTTTTTGCTAATTTTTTGCTCTAAAATACTGCAAAGAGACATCGCAAATTTTGAATAATTATGGATGTGTTAATTACCGTAACCATGTAAGGACAAAGCAATCAAAAATAAATAATTAATCATACTTATAAGTTGAATACTAAACTATTTCTCGAATAATATTATTTTAAATGTTCGCAAAATATCTTGCTTTGAAATTTATTGCTCGCAAAACAAGTTTAAAAATTATCGAAAACACACAGAGCTACAAGAGTAAAATATATTAAACAAATTAGTTGTACCGGTTTTGGTATTAAAATGTTTCTAGAATTTATTGTTCTTAAAATAGCCTGGTCCCGTGCTCACAAATAGATTTTTAAGACAATCAATAATTTTTTTACAGGGTTTCACAGAAACAATGACAAACTACAAAAATTACGAAGTATAAGGGTTAAATTCCTGAATTAAAAACTTCGTATGCATATCATTGTTCTCAATTAGCAATATAATATCGTGTCGTAATAACGTTACATTATGTGAAATATACAGCTAATCTTAGATTATTGATAAATGAGGACTTTTTAAATATCAACCAATCACATCAAATAAATAGATGTAACAATTATCATATTTATATAAAATATTTTGATAAAATATTGTAGATGCGTGTCGTGTCACAGCTCACAATTAGAGGAGTATGACCAGAAATAAAAGCTCTCTCATCAAAAGACAGTTTTATAATACTAGGCTCCCACGAGGTGTCTTCTCATTACGCGATATATAATTACAGGCCAACTCCCGACAATTATACAGCAGTATCCTACCACGTGGCAGTGAGATCCTCAGTGACGTTTCGCGACCTGAGGAAGCAATTTCGCGCGACTACCTGCTCGTTGCGTCACGAAAGATCCGTAACTCAAAGTCCAATTCAGAAAGAACAACATCTCTGGCATGTTTGCTCAGGCTTGCCTCGCGCTAAGATAATATTTGCGAACGGGCGGTCTTGAATGAGCGCCTCGCTGCAATCTAGGTACGGGCAGTCGCTGCGAGATGATCCGCAGAAATACAATGTAAATTCGCGGTAGAACTTCTTAAAGCGATTTCGAGGACGGAGACTCACGCGAGAGTTCGCTTCGAGAACAGAATACTATATAGATATAACGGAAGACGCCTCGCTATGGAAAGCGAGAAGGAGCGGCCTCTGAGCACGCAACTTTCGCGGAATAATGCGAGCGTTATCGACCCGACGTGGAAAGGAAACGCCGCTTTAATCTCTCATTAGTCTCGCGGCTAACGGTGAGAACGCCGCCCGGCACGCGCTGCCGTTTTATTCCTGCTGGAAACACCCAAGTCGGTAATATCTCCGCCGACCCACCATTTTCTGTCAATGCAAACCGCATTTTCTCACTGCGGCTTAATTACCATTAATTTGCGACTCGCGAGAAATTAGGTACGACGACTTTGTTCGTAGATGTTAAGACATAAACGCGGCATATTTATGGATTTTTTAATTACTCGCACGATGTAATATCAGTTACATAATAAAATATATTATTTAGAATGTGCGTGCGACATGCGTGCTGTTTACTGCTATTCTTGTAGGAGGCTGAGGATGACGCGAGATTATACAACCTACGGCTAACCCTTTCATAACTATGAAATTTATAAATAAATACATGTATTCAACACACGCGCAGAAACTAACGCATGCACGATAAATGATAACATATACTTGGTTCAACGATAAAGTCATGTAACTTCAGCGTATACGTTTAGCGCACGCGAAGTTTTGATGCGCTTCAACATTTATTATTTGCTTCGACAAGCAGAAATGCGTTGAAAGTTCGCGCGAAAGGAACACCGCGATTTTTAACATCAACACGATGAAAATATCGATTTTGCAAACTTACTTGTTTTCCAAGTTTTATCAGGAAATATAAATATTCTAAATATAAATATTCCACGACGATATTTTATATATACGTCCACGATACGCGTGTATCGTGCATATGAATAAATGAGGCAGTTTAATAACTATGTTCTTATATATGTCTTCGCGAGCCGTTACGGCTCGCGATATATCGACGTTGACAATGACGCGTTATTGATCGCCCGCTCGAGGAGTGCGGGCGCGAACAATATAACGGCGGTCGTAAAGATGCCGATCGCAGATTCCAGAACGCGAGACATTCGGTATATGAACCCCCCCAGCAGACTCTCTCGCAGGATGGCCTGGTCGAGGAAACAAAGGGGGCGCCGGAGAAATCGATCTGTCTGCCCGATGGAGAAGTGGCGGAAAGCCGGCGGCGAGCCCGACCCGTAAAAGTCAGCGCACACCAGCTCAGGGTTTCTCAGTCCGAGTCTATAGACCTTTAGGATGTTGAACCCGACGCGACTTGCCCATTCGAGTGCAATAAAAATCCGGACCGACGCGGACGTCCGTAAAATTAGAGCACGTAGCATTACGTTCGCCGTAGGATGATCCGGAAAGAACGTACGCGGGGCAAGTAAACGTCCCGTTTCTCTTGAGACGCCACGCGTTTCCCATGTATGTACTCCCATCATTTCATAAACCCAAAGTCCTTTGAAACTCTATCTCTCTATTTTTTTTATTAATTGTTTAATTTTTATAAACTGCAATGTAGGTTCAATAAAATCAAATGTTGAGATTTTTAAATAATATAGAAAAGTTTGGAGGTTCTTACGTATTTTTATAATAGAACGCTCTTCTCGCTCAGGTTTTGATTTTATGCCGCAATCATATCTCTCTCGATCAAATATTAAATACTCTTAGTAATGTTGTACATGCAAAAAAAGATAAAGAGGAGTACTATCAACTATTGATTTTTATCGCCACTTGTAGTAGCCGTGCTGACATGTTTAATATAACATTCGACCACCATTATCAGTATTTATACGTTATTCAATACGCATGAGTCTAGCTCTAGCGTCCCAGGATGATAATTCAAATGCAGTCACGATCTATATACAGTAGGGTTTTGCCCTCGGGCTGAGTCATCAGAGTAATCAAAGCTAACAATGCATACTCAAAGATCTTTTATGGGATGTTTAAATGGAGCAGCTATTTCCATAAAATTTTCATAAAACAAATAAAATTAAGAAAGATCGATAGAATCTTTAACCCTCAATTAGCACACATGTGCTAAGTCGCACCACTTTTTTTTCGTTCAGCACTTTATATATTTCAATTTTTCATATAAAAATCCTTTCTTTTTCGTAAAATAAAGTGCACTACTCGATTGCCAGGGAAATTTTACATAAATTTTTATTAAAAATGACTGAGATACGACAGTTAAAAGTCAAAATCTCAAATCGCACTAGTGTGGCATTTGAGGTGGCCCAACCGAGGTGTGCTAATTGAGGGTTAAATTGTAAAAAAGATCAGATTTGATCGAAAAATTTGTCCTTAAAATTTAACTCGAGTTATGTGTGTCGCATGAGATATAATTTTACTTATTTCATTTTTATTCGTTACCAACGACAGTTCGTTTTACGTTCTGTGGCGCGAGTCAATTTCGTCATTTAAGAGATAACTGACTGTTATTCGCGCAATCGTAAAACCAAGTCGCAAGTATAACGAAAATTTACGATGACACTCACCGTTTCCGGAGTTGTGGATGGCCTTGATAGCCTTCTTGAGCTTCGTGAGACCATCCCTATCGAAGTCCAACGTCTGAAAGAAGAAAATAATGATAATACGGTGAAATATTACGCGAGCTAGTAAAATGATTATTTCTTAAAGTCCACAAAATTTTGTGTGTCAGACTGTTTTGCATTTAAATAAGCGTTTATAAACGTGGTGGTACCGTGCGAGCGACATAAATGTAAAATATTCAACGATCTCTCTTCCGATAACAAAAACACACTTTGAACATCTAACATTTAGTTATTTTATTTTATTTATAATTTGTGTGAATATTCTGGAAATATTATAAAATTGCAAATGACGTTCAAACTTCGTTCTTTCGTTTAGTATGCAAAAATTATAGTTTTTGTCGATGCGCTTTAAAAAAAGATTGTAACATAATTAAAAAATATTCAATTTGAAATAATCCTTAATAAATAATTAGTAAAAATATCGTAGAATCAACATCAATATCGTAAAACACGAAATCAAATCAAGAAATTTTAGTCATGGACATTATAAATATTTAAATTACAAAGCAAATTAATCAAAATTTAATTATATAACAATCTCTTCTTCGTCAAATTTCAATTATGCGAGAAATTATGTCAATAATGTCATTTTTCAAACATCTTTCAAACGTGAATTTTTTCGTAGAACTCCAAAAAAAATGATTCTATATGCATTTGAATTTCACGCGATGTGCGCTCTGCGGGAGTCATAAATCCGGATGTGTCTTTCACCCAAATCCGTCACGGATTCGTGAATCCGGACATCCGGTTAGCTTTAAATCCCCCCCGCTCTCCACACGTGCTTTTAACCGCTCTATCAGCTTTGCTAATAGAGGAGGGAATAAAGATACAAGTAAAAGTTATGCTCGTAAGATGATTACCGCAGCCGTAATTTTATCACGTATATACTTAACGCTAAAATGAGGTTCTAAAGCGACGCGTTTGCCCGGAAGTGCCATCGTTCGTTCATTTGCTTCGTGTGACAGCGAGAAGGTGCTGACGATATATTTAACATTTTATCTCAGCTGCGATGTTGTGAATCACACCTGCCTCGCATTCACGTGTGGTGCATCATTCGTCGGGTTGCATCTTTTGTGGGTCAAATTGGCGCTCACGGTCGCGTCGCACTTTATTTCAGGGTGGGAAAAAAATAGAAGCAAGGTGAAGCGTGCGAAGTATAGACGTTAAAAATAAGAAATTCGACACAGCGATCAAATAATCTCTTTCACGCAGTTTTTTTTTCCATAAGTTGGCAGACGCATTCTTTACAAGAGACACAAAATAAATCACACAGGACTATTTAATAAACAAAATATAAAAGATATTGATGTCGATCAATTAATCGAGTACAAAACCCGGATGGAGAAAAACTATAATATAATTTTAAAAGTATATAAGAAAACATCGTACACATTTATTATTAACCGTTCCAAACATCGGTTATCTCTCTAGTGCAACCAGCGCAAATAAATTGTGTGCAAGCAGAAAGCAAAAGAACGAAAGAAAAGAAAAGAGGACGATATGGAATCTGTAGGAGGAGATGAAGGAAAAGAGCGAAGGAGGAAAAGGATTGAGCCGCGCGATGATCGAGGGCGTCTGGACGCGCTGGGAATTCACGCGGCGTAAAAACGACGGGGGATACTGTACTGAAATAACGCCGACCGACGACGACAAATATCGATAAGAGTTTAATAAGCGGGCGAGAACGCGCGCGTGATTAACGCACGATACGACGCGGCGAACAAGTTCAATGCCAGACCGTATAATGAGCAGAGCGCGATCCGTGAAACGCACGAAATATTATTGACGCATTCATTTGCCGACGCAATTATATCCGAATGTGCATTATAGCGGATGGTTCTGTCTCTTTCGTGCAAATTGCTCCCGAAATACGCAGCGTCTCTCGTGTGCGCTTCTCTATTCTTAATCGTATCATTTTTTTTTATAGAAAATCCAGAATTATTAAAATAATATGAGGAATATATGTTAGCTTAAAAGTTACGAGTTTAGTTTATAAGTTTGTAGAGGATGTTAATCAGAATATTATGATATATACGCGACATTGTTCTTTACGGAAAATTGAAATAATTTTTTTAAAAACTAACTTCAAAACTCGCACTTCAGATACGCGAGTAGCTTCTTTAACTGAGATCATGTTTAAGAACTTGTACGGATTTTTTTGCATCACGCAATATTTAATAGCTCTATTAATAATCGCTCTTTTTGTTTAATAATTTTCCACTAAATTTTTATTCGAGGAGTGCGCACGTGATGCACATCGCCGCGTCCAACGCAATTATTTTCGTGCGCACAGGCGCGATCGAAAAAAAATCCGAGCGAAGAAGAAATAGAATACGTTGCCGGTCGGCCTTGCCGGATTCTCCCCCTCGGCGGCATTCGGGCCGGGGCAGCTCATGCGATGCGTTTCGCCGTCCTTGAGGCTCTCGGAGAAGGCCGCGCGCACGAGCCCGCAGAGCAAAACGACTCTCGGCTTCGCCGAGATCGGGATTCTCGCCTCCACCACGCCCGCGACCTCTCTTCTTTCCCTCCCTTCCCGCCCCTCCCCCCTCGTCCCTTCCTGCCCCCGGAACCGGACGAGAGAACCGGGAAGATAATTGTCTGTGTATGTGCCTCTGGGATGTGGGCCTTACGTTTGCGCTGCGCACGCACTCGCACGCAAGCATATTGTCAAGGAATGCTTGTGAATGCTCTAACAAGAGTGGTTCCCATACCGAGACATTTGTTCCCAAAAATTCTGCCTAAAAAATAGAAGATTTTTATTAAAAAATAAAAGATAAAGAGAATTGCTTTTTATAATAACAACGAGAATTAATGAGACGTACAATGTAAATAATGAATTTTTATTATAAAAGTATATGTGATGATAAATTAGAAATTTCATTAATTGAGAAGGCGTTTCAGAATGTGATTCATTTAGTACAGAGACGAGACTTGATATCTCTTTAGTCGTTTGAATACCATCTCACACGTGTAATAAATAATTCACAGATGATCGAATTTTTTCATCGGAATTTCTTAACCATTGTTAAAAATGTTATGTGAAACCGATTACAGTAAAATTTCAAATAATCGAAAGAAAGGCATTGTAATGTTATAACCATAATAACAGTTAAATAATACATCTTATAAAAATGTTGTTATAATAAAACGGAGGATAGTAATATGTCAATTTATAAATAGCTAAATATAAAATGGCGAATAAACGTTTTATTTTCGAAAACTATATTGTCGAAATCGATTCGGCCTCGTGTCCGGCAAACCGAGTGCCTTCTCATGCGAATCAAAGACAGGCAGCACGCGTCTCGCCGGCCAGTAATTAGCCGCGATGGCACCCGCGTGTCTGCGTAACCTCGCATCCAGCTGTAATTGCCTCTCTCGCTAATTAATGCGCACTATGAGCACGAACGTACGCGCAAAGGTTACACCGTTGACAGAGAAGCCGGCAGCACATATAATATGGTCGTCATACTAAATGTCTCGGCAATCGATCGCTTGCGTGGCGAAGTCTTACGTGGTTGTGGTAAAAAAGTATTCCGGAAGTTGCTCGACGTGACAATGTAGTTATGTATCTTTTATTAAAAGTTCTTCATAAGTATTATTATAAATATTACATATAATATTTATAATAATAAATTTTTTAATTTTTTACTTTAATTTTTACCAAAGAAACTGTTGAAACTCCGTCTTTATTTTTTATTGCAAAGCTGTGCTTTTTTAATCACAGACTCATAAATTTTTGGCATTTTTGCTAAGGTGGACTGAGCTTTTAATTCTTGAGAAATGCTACTATAATTTGTTTTTTAAATGATTAACATTTTGACTATTTGTGGCGTATAAACTAAACTTTTGACATGTGACTCCATAAATAAAAATAACAGAAACTTATAGCAAGATCCGTTAGTCTTAGTCGAGATGTAGTCAAGTGCACGTGTATACTGATAAATTTTCAAAATCATTTATTTTTAAAACAGCCCGTACAAAAAAAATTATTCTACAGTTTAATTTTCGTTTTTAGAAATCTGTGATTAATTTTTATTAATTCTAAAATCATGAAAGAGATAGAATTATTTATATTATATCTATATTATTACGAAACTCACATTTAATATCAATAAGAGAATATCTTTCGAACGTTTTAACACAATGGGGCCTTTGAGATATCTCAGTATAATAGTTTTAAATATATATAAAAGTAAAATTCCAAATTAAATCACAACAAGAAATATTCTTTTGTCGCGACCGACATCCGTATATTTTATGGAAAATATTGAATTCCGCTTTGTTTCTATCACGAAATTGAATTAGCAGCTGTGAATAAAACCGGTCGACAATATTCATCCTGCGCGTGTGTATAACCGTCGGAGAGATTAAGGAGCAACTTCGAAACTATCCTCCGTTGCAACACAATATAAAATACGTATTGTGCAGTCGAGGACGATATTGCAAGTTTCGCAAAGTTCCAACCGGGGAAACTTTCCTTCGAGTTACACCCATAATTCTCGCGTGTGCTTCTATCTGCTTCTCTGTCGTAAGATGTGTGCCAGCAGCGCGTGCCGTACAAGCGCGTCGCGGAAAACGTTTTTCTTGTTGATCACTTGAGAACGCTCTGATGCCGGCATACCAGGCGGCTTATATTGTACATCAGGCGATAAATCGCGCGCGATCCCGCTTCGTGCGAGCCTTAGCAAAGTGCAATTAATGATCCAGGCTCTCGTTCCCTCGTTCCCATCGTGTCGCGTGCCCCACGTTCTATACCTACGTAACGTACAAGGCGTGTTCCTCTTAGTAGGTGCTAAACGGTTTTCCCGCTACTTCGCGAGAAAAGTTTCTTCGTCGTGCAGACGCAATGCGGAAATATCACGCGTAATGAAACTCGCATTTTACTTCCTATCTGAGACTGGAGAATTCATCGAAAGAGAACACGTTTCGTCGTACAGTTAAAAATTTTATAGATATACGATTTGATTTATCGGGATGTGCGCATTCGGATATAACATCAGATATATGTAATAAAAC